GATTAATACGATGAATGCCACCAGGCAGAGTCCGCTCGGTGCTCCTCTCTGCTTCAAATATGACGAACATTTTAAAAAAAGTTCTGTAATATATATATCTATCAACACAATTTAAAATTTGATGTATAGCCTGAAGTCTGTAATTTTGACACAATTTGGAACTGATTTTTAAGAAGAGAAAATCTTTACCACAAAATTGGTCATGTGACCAGGACATAAGAGTGTCCAGAGACTCCAGGGGATTAATTGTAAAATTAATCGCTATTGGCTAAATACCACAATTAATCGTGATAAATTTTTTGCCAATATTGCCCAACCCTCATACATACATGCATGCATGCATACACACTGTATACCCATACATATACTGTACCCATACATAAGTTTATAAATATACGTACATACATTCATACGAATACATTTCCACATCTATACTTACATACACCCTCAATGACTGTCAGAAACCCCAGAATCTGAACACCAGTTTATGTGTCGTTGTGAGCATGCATGTGTATACAAGGTTTTTCCAATGGAACATCTAATGACTGTGGAGACCCAAAGACCCGACCCCCTAGACCCGAAGCAGACATAAGGGGAACCAGCGCCAAAGACCCTGAGAGTGACACCAAGAGTGTAGATCCCAGGGGCACCAGTGCAGAAAGAGCTGCACACCCACTCCCCCCAGAGTGGACCATAGGAGAGATCCAGGAGCCCCCCCCCCCGGTGACCCCACGCAGTAAGTAATCCCCCGGGGCCGACAGCAGCAAGCTCATAGGCCCCGCCGGCACCTGCCGCAACAGAGCAGATCCAGGCATGGACACAGAGGCCCGGGCCCCCAGGGCGCACCACCCCCAGGCCAAGGCCCCACCAGGTCGAGCCGGCACACGCCCAAGTGCCCAGACAATCCAACATCTTGAAAATCTCCAGTTTGGGTTTAGAGTGGTCCCAACATCCTTCCAAGCACTCTAGATCACTTTTTTCCCCAGCCACTGCAGTAGAAAACAGAACTGAATGTTAGTTTCTTAATTTCTTCATCATCAGTGACTTTTTTAAATACTATAGTAAACAAGAAAAAAAAGAAGAGAAATGTAAGAACTGTAAAGAGAGAAACTGATAGAAATTCGACAACATGTGAAATGTACACCATTAACACACAAGACAACACACCCGACATCTGACCATCAGAGAATGAAGAAAACAAACACCCAGCAACCAAACATAAATAAATAAATATATATAACACACATGCACGCACATATAGACATGTGTATATACACATATACACACACATACTGACACATACACGCATACGTACAATAATTACAACCTCACTAAGTAATATACACAAAACACTCACACCCATACACACAACCAGACACATATACACACATACTCTTAACACACCACACACGGCAGGAATATTCCCTAAGATCATCTCTAGAGCCATCACGATAATCAAGGCTTGTTTTGTATGAGACATCTTTGTTCACCCCGGCCTGATTACGTCCTTGCTGATGCGAGTTTGCATCTCCATGAAAGGTGTCTGTTTTTGTTTCCAGGTGCATCATGAGCAGCAGCTACAGCGTCTCTCTGGCTGGCCCCGCCCCCTGGGGCTTCAGACTGCAAGGGGGGAAGGACTTCTGTTTGCCCCTCACCATCTCACGGGTGAGTGGAACACACACACTCTTGCAAACTCTTCACTTCATGACGGTCACCTCAAAGGAATTCTGTCACGTACATTTTGCCGTTTGCCTCATCGGTGACAAAAGTTCCCTTTTGCTTTCTGTGGGACACTTGTTTCTGGATTTAGACACCTTATTTAACAGCTCATGATCTTTACATAAAAGGATTTTTACTTGCCTCCTGTCATGTATTGTTGTCAAAACACCATTACATGTTTTGATTGCATTATCTGTTCATTTGAAAAATAAAGAGCGAATTTGATGAATGAAGAAGACTGATGTTAATGGCTGTTCCTGTCATTTTAGTTATTCAGTTGAGAGCTGAATGTCCTGTCCTCTTCCCTGGTATTTATCCTGATTAGAGACGCAGGAGACCGAGCGTTGCTGTGAAAGCAGTTTGAATGTAACTCTAGAGAGCCACAGTGGTGCTGTAATAACTATTTGGGACTTTCTGCTTCATAAATTCAGAGTGGACTAACCAGGATCTTTCAAGCCACGATCAGCCCACTGGATGACTTATTGTCTCCAAGAAATAGTAGTCTTGGCCTCCGTGTATACGTCGTCCCATTATTTATTTACATGCTTTAGGAGAACTTCACTGAAGGACTGTGGTTGCTGAAGAAAAAACAAAGACAACTTTCTTTGCATTTAATTCTTAGTCTTGTAGAAGTCTGTTTTCAAAGTTGACTGAAGGGTTTCGGTTATACACGTCGTTCTAATTGTAAAACACAATTAAAAGTAGGCAGCTTGTCCTCCACCAGTACAGACTGTGCTCTAAGGACAACTTGGGCCTCTGTGGAATGAACCGTGTCATTCACTTCTTGCCGTTTCCTGTTTTGAAAGGCTAATCTCTGTGTCATGGCCAAGGTCAGTTCCTCTGTTTATTTGTAGTTGGTGGGATCACTTACAGAACTGTGTGCATCATGTGCAGAAAGAAATCACGTCTTTTCTATTTGGTAACATGATCATCTGTGTTGGGACATAGTTACACAAAGAGTACTGAAAGGCCAACATTGCTTTCCAGACTATTTTTATATCCTGCTGTTGTGATAATACTGGCATGCAGGACATTATGTTGTCAGTCGCTCTGTTGTCACTGTGAAAACAGCTGATGAATGAAGCATGAAGCAATTATTCTCTCATAAACAGATTAGATGCTTTACAACCTATAACTTTTAATATGTCAACACTTTTTTTTTGCACGTTTAATTATTCGCTTCAAGGTTTATGAAAATTTGCATAATAAATTAGCCTTCAGTTTACTACAGGAAGTTTGAATTCAGTATGGATTAAATGCATCATAATACAAGATATTAGAGGTCAATCAATTAGGATTTTTTGGCAGCTTTTTTATGCGAATCTTTAGAAATCAGGACTGACAATAACTGATTTATGTGTGTTAAAATCGTATTAATAAATTAAGTTCCAAGTGAACATTTTCTGTCTAAAGACTAAAATTTCCTAGCTAATTAAATATACAAACTCAGACTGATTAAAGGTCGTCGTCGTCGTCATCATCATGTTTTTACTGAACACAATCTTTATAAAATTAATTTAAAGAGCAACGGACTCTGAACTGCTCTGGCTAATTTTATATTGAAATAGAATAGAAATGAATGTGCACTGAAATAGGTGAAAGTAAAATACGGATATAATTTTTCAGTTTGTGTAAACCAGATAATGAAACTACAACAGAAACATAAGTAGACAGTGAAGCCCCAATTTTGGGGGGTTACATTCTTAGAGTACTTGCGAATAAATTTCTTGATTGAACAGATCTCTGATGTGTTATACTATATTTTACAAAAACGTAACTATTTTAAATCTAGGTGAACTGCATCTTGGCAAACAGCTCAATGTTTTTGTTCTTTAGGCTCTAAGAGGAAGCTTAAGCCATTTCTTAATTCATCTTAGCTGAAAGCCTAAGTCTCAAAATAAACAGCCAATCACGGAATCTCATAGGAGGTACTAAATGTAAAACAGAAAAGCACTTCTTGATTACTGATTATTTCACACTATGCACATTTAGTTTGTTACAGTTCAGTCTTGGTTATGTGTTTTTTTTAAATGAGTAGATTCTACAACTTTTACATCTGCCAACAGTTTAGTCATTGCTTCAGTTCCTTCATTAAGTGAGGAAAAAATTGGGTTGACATCAGGCTAATTTTCAGGCTCATTAGAAACCTGCTACTTCTGCTGTGAAGAAAATGCATCAGTTGACAACACATTCAAGTTAGGCTTTATTTCACTCAGATGAATGGTGTTGCCATGGAGTAATGACGTAATGACTTTACATATGCTGACCACGTGGAACTGAGCTGGCTAAAGCACTAAATATGTGACTGGTTTTAGGACAACCATAGAAAATAATTCAGATTTCTTTTTTATTTTATTTTATTTTATTTTTTTACTTTTTTTAATCTTTGTGTTCTTATAACACTTAATGAAAGTCTGAGACCCGTTCTGACTCATTTTGAGTCGAAATACAAAGTTCAGTGTGTAAAAACAGAAACATGCTTTAAGTATTAGATAATCTTTATAATGAATGTTACAGCTTGACGTTAGAAATGATGTTAAAAATATAAGGTCAAATAAAACTTAACATATTTTAAGAATTTGACGCTGTGTGGTTGATGGTTTAACTGAGACTACCACCTTTATGAATGATTTATGAATGTAGGACTAAATATGTAATTGTAAGGGGGTCTTATTTTAGATCGTTTCACAGTTATTAGTCTGTGGTTATTCCATTTCTTTTTAAAAAGGCTTCCACAGCTGGAAAACACACTCAAAATATTGCTACTGTTACGTTAACAAAGTCGCACTAAACTTATAGAGGTCTACATTATAATTTTTCTCACTCCTTTATTGCATGTTTTTTTTAATTTGTTGTTCTAAGGGGTTTGGCTTAAAAAGCAGAAGCTAAATTTAGCTTGTGTTTGCATATAGCTCTCTAGCTCCAGATGTGCTCTTTTATAGTTTAAAATTAGGTTGTCTGTGTCAAAAGGGGTATTTAATCATGTAGGTAAAGCCAGAGGTAAATTGTGTTGTCTAAGTATTTATTTTTAATGGTGTCCAGTTGTTGTAGTTTTTTTTGTCTACATTGTGAATGTAATTTTGTTTGAAACACCCCTTCACTGCACTCTTTGATCTAGTTTTACACATGCTCTTCACTCACCACCCGTTATTCTTCCCAGACATTTTTCTGAAAACCTTTAAATCCAGAAGTCGAGAGGCTGGCCAGAAGCGCAGTTTAATTTCCTCTCTGCAGACTTGACAGACTTGTATAAACCACTTTAAAATAGCTGCGACCTTTAGAGAGCTGGAGCTGCTTGAAGTGCTTTTTATTCATAACAAAAGATGACTTTGAACAAAATACAAACAGTTTGAAGGGGACATTGCTGGAGCACAGGGGTTTAAAAGAAAGACAGGAGACAGAAAAGGAAGTGGCAGAGCTGAAGATGCTGAGGTTCTCTTTGGTAGTGACAAGAATGGTTAAGATTAAAACTGAGATCAGAGGTAAAGAACAGGTTGAACAACTGGGAGATAAAGTTTAAAGAGGCCAGACTGAGATGGTTTGAACATGTGCAGAGGAGGCAGTGGTGGTGGAAGGATGTTACAGATGCATCTGCCAGGAAAAAGGCAAAGACTGCATGGATGCAGTTAGAGAAAATATGGAGGTAGTTGAAGTGAGTACAGATGGAGGATGATATCTCGCCGTGGCGACCCCTACAACATGAACAGTCAATTAAAGAAGAAGAAAATGACAGACTGCTGCTGGATTGTTAGGGGGAAAACCAGTTGTTGTATTATTTTACATTACTGTTTAAAATAAATTCATGTCCTTGAATGAAAACCACTCCTCCTGTCTGGCACGGAGTATAACTACTGGTTGAGTTTGGGTGCAGACAAAAATCAAAGCAAGCTGTGAAAAAAAACATAGCCTGCATTTTAGGAAACCACACGGCTTGTAGTCTGTGCTGCTTGGCTGCGAAATAGATCAACTTTTTTTCCCCCAAAAGCCTTCTGTTTTATTTAAACTCATTTATTGTGGCTTTTCTTGCGTGATTACAAAAAAAAGGTTTAAAGTTGAGATAGATGCTTTTGATAATACTCATGCAACAAAGTGGTTTCCCGAGATGCATTCAGGTTGGGTATGGATCTAATAGAGGCTGCTATCTGCATGTGTTTGATCCCAGTTTGATTGGTTTGTGACTGTGTGTCTTAGGTTGTATTAAGGCATCTGTTTCCACTCTGTTTTGTAATATGGCAGAGCTTTAAAGTGTTAGTACTGTCACTTGATTTTGATTTGAGACACTCGCATATTTCAGGATGGAACATTTACAAGGGGAAAATTTTCTTTATTTTTTCCATGTAGTAAAATTCCTAAGTATTCATATACACACTGTAGCAAGATCCAGTTACTGAAGCAGTAAGAGAAACATCACTATCTTGTAAGGCCCTGTAAAATTAGTTTTTATTTTTTCACAAATTTACTTTTTTTTCCATTTTCTATTGTTTTTAAATTCAACTTTTAAATTTTTTTTTCTGAATTCCATATTTTCATTCTAACTAAATGTATTAACCTAGAAAGAATAAAGTGAAAAACAGTTTGATAAATATAGCCACAGAGTTCAAAATTTACTGTTTGACTTTCAATAACTGATTCAGCAGAATATAAAATGCCTTTTGATAAGTATTTAAAAGTATTTATCTTTTTAAAGAACAAAAAACGTGTTAAAAATAGAATCTCACATTAAGTTATTTTATAAAATGAAGATGCTTTAGAGTTGAACTAAATAAATACTGTATGTCTCTTATGGAAACAAAACCTACAAACAGTAACAATTTGTGCACACTTGCCTATTAAATAAGATCTATGATCGATTTCTGTTTTGGCAGAAAAAAATAGACAAACAAAGCTTCATTTTTTTTCTAAAGAAATATCTGATTTGGCACAAAGCAACAAAATCTTTTGATAAA